GTTTGATTGTTTGTATTTTAACGAAAAATAAAATCGAACGTTCGAAACTGATCAGCCATGTGTAATTTTATGTGTGTGAGTGTGTGTGTGTGTGTGTATGGAATACACTTGGCACGATCAAAAAAGTGTGGATAAGGGGATATCCACCGGAGATTAGGGACGGGTTGGACAGGGGCGAGATCAGTCGTGGTCGAGGGGGTGGGGCTGACTGGGGTTGGTGGATCAGGGCAAGAGTGTTGGAAAAAGACAGATTCGAACCACGACATTACAAACTTTCAGTAAATTGCGTGAGAACACTCGATTTTAAGTGACATACACAAGTGGATATAAAGCTCATTATGAGCAAGATAGAGAGAGAACGCGAGGGCGCGAAACAGTGAGAAATAGATCTCAGGGGATAGAAAGGTACAGCAAAGAAAACACCACTGGCAACAGTTCTAAACCCACATTGCAATGTTAGTTCACGAAAAACCATCGAGTTCAAATGAAATGCAGAAATAATAATTTTTGAATAGTAGCTAACTCTGGGAGTTTCCCAGTAATTCGTGATTGTTCAACATCGTTTAATTGATCAGATGGTGGATGGAGGGATAGGTGTTTGTGTGCAAGTGAGAGAACAAAACCAAATTGATCACAGTAATTGCAATATACAGAAAGAAAATGATCGGAACGGAATTCAACTGTCCCAGTGCGTATAAGTATTGTGTGTGTGTCTGCGCGTGCGTATGCATATGTAGATTCAAATGAGGCGGATCAACGAACAGACAAAAGGTCGCACGTACGTACTCGCGTACACACACACAAACATACATACGTGAAAAACAAAACCGAATGAATTTATTTCTGCATTGGCGCGAGCTGGAATAGGGTAGCTTTCGTTTGACCTACGCGTTTCACTTTTCTTTTCAAATCAAAAAATGAGGGAAGGGGGGGGCGGTTGGTTGTAGAGTGTCATCATTGATCATAGATGGAACGGGTTGGGGGACTGGAGCACTGAACAAAATTTAAATGACCAAAACACAATCAATACACGACGGGCAGGATCGAGCGTGCGTATGAAGCGTCAGCGCCAGATTGCTGTTCAAATCAGGAGCAAATATACATTTGATGAATGCTCGGATTTCAGGTGATACTTTGCATTCAAGATAGAGGGACGAATCAAGCAGAGCACGTTTTCATTTGTGGCTACGTCGACCCATGCAACTGCACAAATCGAAAAACCGACGCTTCTTTGTTCCCTTGTTCTTATTCTCTTTGATCAGACTCCGTTCCCCATTGTGTTTTCCACCGGGGCCAGTCGCGCCGGTTTTGGGTAAAAGTTCTGTAACGGTATGGGGAGAAAAATAAGTTTTGCCAGATGGTACGTGATCGAATGGGGCAATGAATCAAAGACAATAGCTTCTCTAAAGCCAAATTAACTGTGTACATGAAATAGCAAAATATGACTTGACATATAAAATTCGAATTCCTTCCGTCGGTTGATATGCCTATCGATCGAATGTGGGTCGATATTCCCTAAATGCGGATGAGTAAGGAACTGACCGCCGTAAGCAATCTATGCAAAATGATATTTTATCACCGACTGAGGAGTTTTGATGTATATGCGTAGGCCGAACTCGTTGAATAATTAGGAAGCACAAATAATCACGGATTATTCAAACGTGTTTTGAAATAATCAGATATTCGAACGTGCTCTTGTGAGAAATGCTTTTGATTTGAACTTATCATCCTCCCCACTGCACCTTCTTACCGAGTCCTCGGTTTGCTCCGTCAATCCATAATTCCGAAAAAGCGCTAGACTCGAGTTTTGCTCTCATTCTCGATGAGCTCTCCAAAGAGCAAAATTTCAACCCAGTGATCTTTGCATATAAAGCTGACTGGTTGAAGTGAGAATTTGTGTCTGGTGTGTCTGATGGTCAGTTCAACTGAAAATAATTGTTTTCGATTATTCAATGCAATCGTCTGATAAAGGATGACGTTATTCAGAACGAGTGAACTCAATTTCACCCTCCCTTTGGATCAATGACTACGAATGGTTTGAAAGTGATTTGAGTAACATAAAAAGTGATTAGAAACCTATCATGTTGAAGACTTTATTCACAAGGACTGTTGGAATAGCTGGACTCATTTCCTAATACTTAATGCATATCCACATGTAGGACAAGTAATACAGGAGATCAATCCAGTTTCCGCGTGAACCTTCAGTTCTTTCATAAAAACGGGCAGAGTCAACGCTAAATCAGTTAGCCATTGAGGGATCCCAAATGATACGTGGTTGTAGAGCTAGCCGAAATCGATGCTGCTTAGCACAAATTATGTTTGGCGGTAGTAGAGTTTGAACATCTCGGATCTTACCAATTCTCAATGACCTCTAACAATAAATTTCTCACACAGAAAACCTTACCCAAAGCTCTGCGGTTTTCGGGTCATCATGCGTCTGTTTCTGTTTTTTATGAGTACATCTAATCAATTGCGTAACGATCATCATCGTTCAAAATTTCCAATAAAAAATTCTCAAGCGAATTGTAAATTAAAAGCCATACCGACTGCTAAATAGATTGATTATATCTTGTTAGGTGATTTTATTACAAAAAGAGTTCGGGATGTGACTCTGTGTGTTATACGTGGCGCACGATCATCCAAACCATCTATGAACAACCATACACCGAAAAAGCAGTCTCTTTAGCGTTATTTAATCTACACCAATTAACTGAAGGAGCCATCTCATCTACTCACGGCGTGAAACCCTGCATGTAATTGTGAGATAACCGGTCTACTAACCATGATATCAAAACCTGGAATTCTGTGTGTGTGTGTGTGTGTGCGGGGCAGCGGCAACATCATCATCACCATCATCCTCGGACTCTCTAGTGCAGTTTTGAACGAACACATTCGTACTCAGGTCTCACAAGCGGCTAATATGCCGTGAATTGCGAATCGATACTCCGATACTCCAGTATTGGATGCCGCTTACAACTCAACAAAGTGACTAACCCTCTCTTCCTCCGTTTTCTGTTTGCTTTTTTGCTAATTGTATCTGAGTGAATGGAAAAAATCAAACGCGCGCTCGCGAGAGAGCGAGGGAGAAGCATTTGATCTTTGTAAAGTTGACAACCTTTGCGCAGAGCAACAATTTGAGAGAAAAATATACATTGGGGACACAACGGGGTGAGTGGGGGAGGGGGTGGAGGATAAGGATGAACGACTACCGGACATGCAAACCAATGAGCAGTGATCAGAAAGAAACCAATTCTATGTTTTCATGGAATGTTGTTCAGTCATTTTTGTACCATGCATATGGATATATAATGGAATGCAAATCTGTTGACAATACGTGAGGATTAAATAAACCCGTTCTATGCGTTCAAAAGTTGTAGATATACAAAGCACAAAATAAGCCCCTACCACATAATCAGAACACAAATAGTAGGTGGACATATGTTTTCCGTGAGTTCCTTCTTAAGCCAATCCAATCAAATTTATGTCAGACAATAACGGGAGAGACGATGTCAGAAAATGGCTACGCGAGAAATGTTAGTCAGTCATAACTGGTCTTAAAGAACATAACATCTGACTGCAGATAGACCTGGAAAAAAACCTTTGATCATCAAACTTCCGTTCAAAGGAGTTCCATCAGCTGAAATGGTTACTATAGTCTTGAAAACCACAGCTAAAACCACGTTCTATGGTGCCAAACACGGATGTGTATTCTCGACATCACCCACTATCCGATATCAGAACAACCATAGGTTGCCTATGTTGACCTCGTCAATGCTCATCTACCAATCCAAGTGCCCCTGTGATGTATCTTATATAGGTCGCACGACAAGACAGCTATCTCAAAGCATCAAGGAACATCAATCCGCTTGGCTTAGATACCGAGGAATCGGAGTTATTTTCAGTTCCATTGTTGCATACTCGGTCGAAACTGGCCATAGAGTGGATGCTAATTCGGCTTTCACCATCATTCATCGCGTCCGACGACACAAATCCAGGGCTGTTCGAATTAAAATGTTAGCAACAGCCAAGGCAATTATCATCCGCTTGTTAAAGTCAGAATTATCTGCTCCAAAAGCACTTGTTCAGGCACTTAAACTTCCCTGGTCCCAAGGAGGACCATGAGCGTTGCGATGACCTAAATCAAACATCAATGCTTACGTAACCCGTTCTTATGTGAACCAGAGAACTTGAGACAAACGTGTCCCTACCCCACCGTGTTGTTATAATTATTTCATATGGACGGTTGGACCCCAACACAAAGCCTTCCAGCTATTTTCTTACATGAATTTGATTGTACTGACTTGAGAGAGAACTGACCAAGAACATACGTTCACCTACGATCTGTGCTCAGATGTATAAAGCTCTCGTGAGAAAACCTAAACTCCAATTTCAAATACATTGCAATCGATGATAACTGTATAGGCACTGCAGTTGTTATACAGAGGGAATTTGTGAATTCCAATGACGAAATAAACTGCTCTGTCCATCCATCGTCATTTGTTATTGGATTCATATGAATTCCGTTCACACTCGAAATTTGACAGTTCACGTTTTCCGGTTCGGTTGTTCACTCGCATGGCGGTTGACTGTACTCGCGTTGGAAAGAAGCGGCCGCGGCCGAAGATTCTGCGAACGTATTTGCAACCAAATCATTCGCCCGATTCCGTACGGAATAATCTATGACAATTTGTGCGTTCTGTGGAATTTCACTGCACTTCTAATTTAGTCGTTAAAAACAAAACAATTATACTCGTGGATCTGGTCTGCCCACTGCGGTGAAGTGATCGATATTTTCGGCAAGAGTATGTTTCTATTGAACAACGTTCAGCCAGAAAAGAAAAACACAAAGGAACACGATTCGTTTGCCATCACTTGCTAATTATCTGTTTATCGATTGCGATAATTGATGATCACTTTGCAATTGCGGAAAAGTAGTTCACTTTCCTCACACTCTCCAACCGAATCAAACTGCACTGCATCATGAAGTCATCTGATGTGAGCTCTTGCATTTAAAGCAGTCGATCCTGGTATGTTTACCCATTAATCAAGACAAAGCGTAGCATCACGAGTCAACATCTGGGAGGCAGGGTATGCACGGTACTCAATAATATCGGTGCACAGAGATTACGCTTGTACAGCGTTCAGATAACCGAGTCTGTTTGTTTGTTCTCGTGGAACGATTGACGTGCAATGCATACAAAAGCCACCCACATAAAACATGTTGAAATTCAATCTGATGTCAATATTTCATAGTAATGAAATATTATTTACACACACACAAATGTTTGGCTCCAATGATTCCCTCAGGTGCTTTCGAATAAGTTCCGTTTAATGTTTGGATTATCTGATGTTCTTCTGAGCAACATCGGAAAACAAGAAATAGGCCGAATGTTCGTGGTTAAATTGATTTTCCAGATTCACCCTTTTTTGCAATGTGGTAGAAATTAGTTGGAAAAATACCGCATGATCTGCAAACTGAACGAGACAAATCATGATAATCTTGTACCGAATCAAACTGGGATATCATTGAAACGATAGCTCAAGAAAAATTGCGCAATTTGAAAACCTTGCGTGCAATCGCTCTAATAGAAGCAATATACTTTATTTTTATATAGCTCAATAAACATGTGCACTAGGTGTATTGAATTTCTTTGAATCAACTAGTTTCCGTCATTGCGAATGCACGTTCTTTAATTTATGGAACCCGGAGTCAACTACTCTTTAGTGTTGGCTTTGGCATTTTCCAAATTCAGACATCTCTGGAATCACCCGAACATATGAATTTCTGTGAAGGATAGAGTATAGGCTGCTACAGTTCGATCCTACCTGTCATACAGCACAGCAGCTTGATCACTAAAAGAAAATGGGACATAGGTTGTCTGTCAGTATTCAAATGCTATTTCAATGTTTCAATGCGTGCGTTTGGTGGTGAAACCGAAAAAGCAATGCCGAGGTAAGGTGTAGAGTTTGAGGTAACCACGGTCGACCAGTGGGGCAAGTAAACGACCTTCATAGACCGATTGTTGATTGGTGCATCTGGTGATTATGCTCAAAAATAGGTGGCCACAGTGCGCACCATTTAAGGTTGAATAAGGTTGAACAGGTCGTGAACTGTAGCGTTCTTGTATGTACTCTTGTCAATTCAGTCTACAAGACATCTCAATCATGATCCTGACACTATTTTCATCATTCCGATCATCCTTGTAGTTATTGTTTTTCGGAGCCTCCCCCTTAGTGGTTTTGTTGATTACTACATATTTAATGTGACGAACAGTAGAGGGAGTAAACACGGCAGTCTTGAGGACCTGTTATTATCAATGATAAAAACCGGTAAATTGAGCCTCGGTGGCCTGGATTGGCGAACCACATAAGTTTCCAGTGGGTTAGGCGTGGTTTTGAACCGGACAACAACAAAGCTGTCTATCACCAAAGTTGGGTGGCGTTGGAGAGGCTCGAACCTCGGACCACGGGTGGCAGCGACTAAACCACTACGCCACCAACACCACCTAGCAGTATGAGCTGGTCGATATATGAATGATCCGGAGATCAAATCCCTAGCAGGTAGAAGAGATGCGCTAGTAATCAGCTTCAACATAAGTGAAAATCAAGTATAATCATTAATGAGCGGCTAGACACAGGGGTATTTTAGAGCAGAGATGAAGTGCAAACGTTGATCGTTGTAAATCACTTAGAATTTGCTTACGAATGTCACTATAGTATTACCATTACCAGAAAACACTTCAGATGTTATAGATTTTGAGAAATGTACTTTTATTTCATTATTAGAGTACACTGTAGATGAGCGTGACGTTAATTGTGAGTTTTAGAGCCGTATATTTTACTTCTAACAGTGACCCTCTCGCTTTTTGTCCTTGCAAGCAAGGAACCGCGAGTTTATCCGATATCCGAACAAAACATGGTGCAAATAAGTAACTGCCATATTGTTGTCTTAGCTACCATCTATTGTCTCATTAGTCAATTTCTATATTTATTGACATATTTTGTATAACACTCACGGTATCATATCCAGATTCGAAGTGGATGTCTTTGAAGAAATTGTGCGTCGTGCTCATAGTATTAGATCGCTATAAGAATGTTTGGATTAGCCACAACAAAATAAAAACGAATAAAAACGAACAATTTTTTGGTTGACGATGTTTCAATCTTTTTGGAAAGCCATTTCCCCAAGTCAATTAACAAACAAACATTAAACAAGAAAACTAGAAGTGCTTTTGTTTGGTCTGGGTGCAGCAAAAATTGAGTTGATATGTGTGTGGTAATAAATGTGAACGTGGAAGTTGTGAATGAATCAACAGGTCAAAGAGCTAAGGATGACGTCATAGAAGATGGGAGATTAGTTTGTGAGCAGTTTTGTGGTGTAGCGATATTTAATGTTGTGTGTTAGTACACGGGTATTTAGTTGTCTACTTGTTTTGGGCAACGTACGGTTGCTCTCACAACTTTTGTTTGATGCTTGCTTGTTAATTGATTTGAGGAAATGGCTTTCCAAAAGGGTCGAAACCTCGTCAACCGAAAAATCATTGTTTTGTGATTTTCTGTTGTTGCGGCTAATCCAAACATTCCTTATAAAGATCTAAAAATTCTGTATCACAGTTTGACTGTTTATAATTTGACGATCAAAAAAGTTGCTGTGTGTTGGTCTGTATCAACCCGGTTCATTTTCGTCACAACACTGAATCTCTTTCTTCAAAGGATAAACTTTTCAGTAACTTTTTTTCATTGGCAGTTTGAAAAACTGATTCAAATCTGACTCAAAACCTAATTTAAACCGCATTCAATCTGTCTTCCTACAGGTTCGATTCCCACCATTTCATGTCGCACTCTTACGAGTCACCTCAAAGGTGAATTCACTTTAACTGGAATCACAAAATAATAATTGATTTTAGCTAATTTTGATTATTTGAATTGTCCGAAACGATTAAATGTTTAGTTCGATCAGAATCTAACATCCAAATGTATTCGGAATCATGGTTTAACCCATTGACCAATTTTGTTCAGAATATATATTAATACGTACTGATCGGGATCCTCTCTCCTGGTGCTCTCACTCCCAGGGACTTGATGTATCAATAATAAAACGCACTAATCCCCTGA